TGACAAGAGGGATTAGACTTTGGGGTGTGTGGTTGGACATGGTGGCAGGGGTGTAGAGAGACTGCTGATCAACCCACGGAAGGGGGTGTGGATGGACTGAGGGGCACTGCCGGAGGGCAGTGGTCCGGAAAAGGAGGCTGCAAGCTGGTGAGCGACACGGGTCCACACGCCAACCAAGGGCGAGACGACAGATGGGACTGTCCACGGTGCTCCACTGGACTGAGCTAATTCCTAGAGACGACCAGCAGGAGGTGCCAGGTGGTGCATCCCAACCCTGTTACATGTGGTGGAGAATGTGGGAATAGCGGTCTGCCCCTGATAAAGGGGCAGGGCAAGGACTGTGGGACAGTAGCCTAGAACAGCGCGAGACTGAGAAAGGACTGAGAGACAAAATGATGGAGAAAAGGGACTTGTACTGGAGGGCCTGGGTGGCTCGGCTTGCCGAGCAGCAGAGAGAGGTGCTCTGGCTGCTGGGGGGTGTACAGCCAGACCGTATAGGAGACCAGGTGCCAAGGGCAGGAGGCCAGGGCCTGGGCTCAAGAAATGTTATGCCTGTGGGCGAAAGAGCCACTTCAGGTGGGAGTGTCCCAACTGGGAGGGGGCAGAGAAGCCCCACCCAGAAAAAGCGCCCCCTGTGAGGGTAACAGGGGGGCCTCCGGCTTGTTGGGTCTGTGGGGAGCTGGGACATCTGAAGAGGGAGTGCCCCTACAGGGCTCCCAAGGCCCGGGCCAGCCCAGAGGGAAGGGCTAGGGCCCACACAAGCAGGACTAGGGCCGTGGCAGAGGGAAGGTGCCGAGGGTGTTTCCACTGCCTCACCAAGGGCCACATAAAGAGGTATTGCCCCCTGAGGCAGAAAGGGGGAGTGCCTGAGACAAAGGCTCGGTCTGGGACTCTCTGCCAAGAAGGGATGATGCAGGCCGAGGTTCCCCCGAGAGAAGGGGGCTGGGGCAGAGAGGCCCCACCTTAACCAGGGAGCCCACACAAGGGCCGGGAGGGCCGATGTGGGAACCCACATAGGACCAGGGAGGTCTACGGTGGGGACACAGACCATAGAGGAGGGAGGCAGGTTGCTTCAGATGGTGGAAGGCCTGCGCTACGAGAGGGATTCCCTGAGGGCCCAGCTGCAAGGAGCACAGGGGCGATAGGGAATTCCCCCCCCCCCAAGGGTTTTTAAGGGGGAGGGTGTGTAGTGGGGCGGCTGCCCCACTCCTGGTGAATTTAGGCTGCAGTGGGCCTGTGCAGATGGGCAGCCAATCAGAAAAGGGCTTATTGGGAGCCAATCTGGGCCCAGATTGGCTCGGCCCTATATAAAGGCTGCTCAGGGAGAGAGCAGGCAGTCTGTCCCTGGCCTTTGAGAGGGGAAAGTCTGTCTCCAGAGGTTGGGAGACTAGCACTGTGGACAGCGCAGTGCTGGCCAGGCTTGGGGAGCAAAAGGCAGCTCTAGC